ATATTTATGTTTGTGGTTGTAATGTGACAAAATATGGAAAAGTTCAAGGGGTATGAATACTTTTGCAAACCACTGTACTTGTTGATGTAAAATGCATTAATTTGCACATATTTATGTAATTCATACATTGATATAGTTTCAAAATAAAACAAAGAATATGGCTTTTAATTGTAACAGCATTAAATAGGGATGCAAGTTATTGATTAATCATCTTGTCGATCGATAACAATTAATTGATAAGCAGTCATTGTATCAAGAGGGTCCTTCCATAACATGAAGGGCTCAATTGTTATAATATGCTGAATTTCAAAAAAGAAGTATATAGTTATATGTTAACAATTTATTGTGCCAGCTGTATGAAATACTGACTGAATAAACAAACAAACAAACAAACAAACAAAAAAAGTGTATTTCTCACATTATTGAACTTGTACATATTTATAAAGTAACTAAAGAGAAATCTATTAGGTTGCTGAATGGGGGAGAAAAATGAAAAGAACAAAATATGTCTGTGGCTAAAACAATAAAAAAGATTTTTTGAACTCTGAGATGAAAGTGGGTCAACTGGACTCCAGGTRTTCTCAAAGACAAAACTACACACTAACTATAAAATCCAAACGTAATATTACAGATATACAGTGGGGAGATCAAATATTTGATACAGTGTTGATTTTTCAGGTTTTCCCACTTGCAAAGCTTGTAGATGACTGTAATTTTTATCATAGGTACTCTTCAACTGTGAGTGATGGAATCTAAAACAAAAATCCAGAAAAATACAATGTATGATTTTTAAATAATTAATTTCCATTTTATTGTGTGAAATAAGTATTTGATAGTTATGGGCAATTTGAAGCTGAAGCTTCAGCGCACGTATTGAAAAAAACAACACTGTTTCAGAAGCACTGTGTCGGAGCTTGATTCGTTTGGTAAAAGTCACATGATCAGTGACGTCCGAAGCTTCGAAAGTGGTGAACTTACGTCACTGCTTTGGTACCTGATTCAAAGGTTCATGAGGAAATGAATCATTGGCTGGATTCATGGTGTGTTTTGATGGCAAATGTGCAAAATATAACAAACCAGTGAAGGACTTATTGCGAGACACAGAGGCAAACAAACGTATGTGTTTAGATTGTCATGCAGTTTATAAGCCTGGGCCGGATAGAGTGGGGGTCACAAAACCACAAAGAACCTTTGCTGCGAGCGCACGTGTGTGCGCGCGCACGCACACACGGACCCACACAGAACTGCATGCAGCTTGGTTCATCATTAAAATGAAAGCAATAGTAGCGCGAGACACATCCCAGAGCAGAGTTTCACTTGTTGCACAGATGATGATTTTCATAAAAAAACACAACCGGATGATGTCCTGTCCTCAGGAGGAAGGGCGGCACGAAGCATTAGATGAAACTGATCAACTGTATGGACTCTATTTAATAAAGGGATTATCCAAATATTTTAWAGTTCAGTGGAAAAGTTTTAAACGTTCATGTCAAAATTAAAATCAAAGACCAGGGGCTGTATTTATCAGACTTGTAGGAAATATTATTAATACTTTGAAGAATTAATTGTAAAAAAAAAATTGTCTCAAAGCTGGGCCTAAAATTTAGATATCAAACATCTGACTTAAAGTAAATCTGAAGAC